CCCCAAAACCCCAAAACCCCAAAACCCCAAAACCCCAAAATCTCTTTTGATATTGATAATTTGTAACATTTTTATTCAATATGTCAATTTTAGACGGAAAACCTAAATCCAACCCAAATCTAGATTGGTTTGCCTTTGAGACACGTATTCGAAAGGTTCTGCATGATCTTCTCGAACCCACTGCTGAGAGGTCAATCAAGACCAAGGAAAATGTAGAAGAAGTTAAAGCTGAAAATTAAAATACTCACAAGAAAAATAGAGGAAATAGAATTTATTTTACATAAGTCTCACAAAAGATCAACTCTATTCGATAGCGTCAACAAACGTCTTATCGATAATGACTCTGAACGTAAGATTCTAGAGAGTAGATTAAATAATGAAGTCAGGAGCATTACTACAGAAGCAAAGGGGATCAAGCAGCGAGTAAATCTCATCGGCGAAGAAGTCTCCACCATTAACACCAGGATTATCGAGCATTTTAACCGAACAGAGGAACTAGAAAAACGGTATGCTGAGGATAAGAAGGATATCTCCCTACAACTCCAGATTGATGACATCAATAGCCAACTTAAAGTCATCGATGAATGGAAAGGGCATGTAGACTACCTCCTTAGCAATTACCAAGAAGACATTTATCGTCAAGGGACTTCAATCGAGAAAGCCAGGAAAGAAATCAGTGAATGAGAGACTCTAATCAGAAAGGACTGTGTCAAGAACCCTTCCTTCAAGAAGCTCTCTGAGGATCTAGATAAGAGATTGACTTATTGTCAGAATTCAGCCGAGGATATCAGCAGGAACTTGATGTCCACTGACAACTACATTGAAAAGTACTTGCCTATCAAGATCCACAAGTTCATAGTCAGTTCCTTAAGAAATGTGTTTGAGGATAAGAAAGATATCAGGAAACTCAAGGATTACGAGGCCAAGAGAGACTGGCTCCTCAATGAAGTCCTCCAAAATGACAATGGTAAACCTGGAGACTTCAAGAAGAAAGTCTTTGAAGATAACCATCACAAACTAGGCAGAGTCAAAGTCCAAACCAGGCATAAGAATTTTGGATCAGGGAGTTTAAGAAAAGATGGGAAATTAAGTAGTCTAACTTCTAACGGTACAAACTCTATCAGAGCTAAATCAATAAAAAGGAGTATGAATAAGTCTAGAAGAGGAGAGAGTAGCATGATATCTCACCAGAGCTCACAACTCTCTGGCCCAAAGGACTTGGATGAACCCTCAAAGCTCCAAAATATCAATGAGAGAGTAGCTTCTAAAGCAGGTGTGGGAAAGAAGGATGATACTAGTCCTGCTTATCCTTCAACCAATAATTACCCATCTATCGAAGTTAAGGAACCCTACATGGCTGATAAACACAAAAGGATCAGCATTGAAAAAGAGTTGCCTGCTAGCTCAAAAGCTCTAGCCACAATTCATGATGAGTTCAATTCTGATGAGAGAAACTTAATACTAAAGGAAGCGAAATCCCAAGAATTCAAAGAAGATGACAGCAATAAGCATGGTCAGAATAAAACTCAGGCTAGACAAAATCTTTTAAATTCTATTGAATACGAAGATTATGGAGGAGAGCACAATAAAGACCCTGGCGCTGAGGATGGTGAACTAATCTCACAAAATTCTTCAAGGTAAAGTTTTGCGATTACCAATAGCGAATATGGTGAAGACATAGAAAGCGAGTTAGATGAAATTGACAAAATCTATGACAGAAAAAGATCTATGACAGATCTAGTCACCATGCATGGCCTAGATGATGAGTTTACAAAATTTCTCTCAGGTATTCCTTCCCATAACCTCCAGAATTGGCCAATGACATCAAAGAACTGAAGAAAAAGACTGAGACTATTGGGAACAACCAAAAGAACTTTGAATCTAATTTTTCAAAATCACTACAGAAGAACTTTGAAGAAATTACTTTCAAAGTAGAGAAAGATTTACTCGAGCAGAAAGAGTATATTAATTCCCTTCACCAAGACATTGAGCAATCCATCAAACAGTAAGAGTTCGAAATAACCCATAGATCCAAGAGGGATAGGTCAGACACATACCTTGCCATGCAGACTCTAAAACAGAAGATTGCAATGGTCCAAGACCACAGTAAAAAGACAGAGAGTTACCTCTTCAGGACTTCATCATCTTACATGAACATCCTTGAAAGCATCAAGTCACATTTATATCTCCTGAAGCAGAAGGATATGAATGAATATGGTGCCAAAATGCACCAAACTCAGCCTAGACCTTATGTTGCATCTGAAGGAGATGTACTCAATCGGAACAGAAGATCTCATGCAATTCTGCAGACTGGAGAAATGCCGATCAACCAAGAAGCTGAAAACCTTGACCATGAACTTCATAAGCTAGACATGCTACTAAATGAGAATAATTCCATGCTAGAAGGCAACCTTCAGAATGAATTTGAGAAGTATGAACAAAAAGCTCTTCTTTCTTCAGGAAAGAAGAGACCCAAGGTCTTATCTTCAGAATCAATGAAAAGACTTCGGTCTGCCAAAATGTAAATTTATGTGTAATCTCATAGTCGAAAAGATGCAATGTCCCCAACAAAATGACTCAGTAAGATCGATACGGTTGGGCCTAAGCAGAAGGAGAGCACTACTCCGAAACTTCCGGACTTTGGGCCTTTTAAGAAATCAAAGAGCAAGTATAAAATATCCAGACCTCCTCAAAATTTCAATGATAGAAGGATCACAATGAACCAAAGCATGAGATGGCTAGAGCAATTCTCTCCAGAAAGAGGTAAAAGCGTTATAATACGACCAACGTCCAATAATAGCAGAAGAGCTGAGTCCGAAATGAGCAAAAAGGCTCCAATCAATCAATAATTCAATATCTGAAATATCTAAAGGGGTTTTGGGGTTTTGGGGTTTTGGGG